TTTGGCTCCGTTCTTGATGTCCACCGCTATGACCTTTCTTCTTTCTCCTCCGAGAAGCTGAATGGCCTTGGCCATAGTGTACCCTTCATTGGGTCCTGAGTAGAGGTACAACGTCACACCTCCTTCTTTCTTCCATAGCTTTCTTCGGCTTCGGTTTCCGGTGATATGTCCTTCCTTAGGGCTGATCACCAACCTTTCTGTGATTCTTTTTGGAACTCCTTGAAGTGCTGGGTGTTCTTCTACCAAGCGCTTCATCCAGTGCATGTAGGCTTCAGCTGCGGATCCTTCTACACTCCTCAGCTCGGGTGCCTTCTTTTCCAACTCCTCGATCAACTCCAAAGCATCAGACTTTTTGATCATCGGGCAACCTTCTTTGAGCTGGGTGTTAATCTGCCCCTTGAAGGGGTGATACAGGACCATATGGCCTTCGGTCCATTGCAAAGAGCAACCCAAGTTCTCCACCAACGCTCCCAGTGGCACGATGGGCTTCACATCCTCAGAGCCTATGATGGCACCACCTTCTGAAAGCATCATCATTGTTTGTTTTCCTCCGGCCAGATTGATCCTCACCTTTTGACATTTGGACAGATCCTCATCTTTCTTTGGAGGTCGAAGAGGATGGGTAGCTCCGCTGTCAAGGAGTCCCAAATCTTCCACAGCTGCTTGGACCCTGGCCAATCGCAGCACTCTCACCGAAGAAGCTCGAAGCTCATCCAGCTGTCTTTGAAGTCTCCTGATTTTGGCATCACCGGTCTCCTCAACTGATGAGCTTTCCTGCGAAGCTCCTGGAATCACCTTCAGCATCTTTCCAGCTTCTTCCAGTAGACTCTTCATATCGTCCGCTCCAGCAACTGCTCGGTCGGACTGATTGTCCTCCTCATCATTCTTCTTTCTGGCTTCGCCATCTTTTTCGGCTTTGGCCACTTTGACTTCTCCTTGGCCCTCACTCACTGGACATTTGTTGGAGAAGTGCTTTGTGGACCCGCAATTCCAGCAGCGACGCTGGTCATCCTTCTGGTTGTGATCCCATCTGCAAGCTTTTCCTCGACGGCATCCATTCTCCGTCAGGAAGTACTTACACTTTGGCATCTCCTTCTTACCCTCGTCGCCCTTCTTGGCTTGAGGTGCTTCACTTCTTTTTCCTGCCTCCTCCATCTTCCGAGCTTTGGGAACTCCTGCGATGGCTGCCTTTTCCTTCTTCTTGGCATAGGAGACCTGGTCCATCTCAGCCAGTAAGCATTCGGCCAACTGGTCAATGGAAGACATAGTGGGCACAGAATCCACCATCGGTGTTGTCCTCGTCAGGTTAATGCGAAACTGCAAGGTTGGATTGCCAGCCAAAATCTTGGAGACCAGCCGGTCCAGGCCCCTCAAAAGGACCGATGGATCGGGCAACTGAAGGCCCATGTCTTCTGCCCTTTTCTTCCATCTCAACCAACGACGTAGTCCCAGGATGCCTCGCCGATCCCCACCGCTTCTGCCGGCAGCTCCAAAGCGGCCAGCACTGCTGCTTTTTCATGGGAACCACCAGGCTGGTAGTTGTTGAGGAGTTTTGCCAAAATCGCCAACACTGAAAGGTCTTTCCCTGCCACAATGTCATCACGCTGACTACTGGGCAAGGCCTGAAGAAGCAAACTGCTTCCTCTCTTCTCCAACCTTCTCCATTTCTTCTGCTGTAGTTGCGGTGGTGCCCTGACTTCATGCTTCAGCTTGTCGATGGGCTTCATGGCTTGGTGTTTGTGGTACCAGTCCTTCGCAGTCTCAACCACTAGATCCCACCATTCTGAACTGCTGGTAGTGAGATCCGACATCTGTGCATGGATGAGAAGCAACCAGTCCTGTAAGTCCACCGGAGCATTCTCAGCTGTCCACTCCGGCAGTTTGTGCAGCTCTACACTGCTCCTCACATGCTCCTCTTCATCGTCCTCTGTTAGCCGTCGGCCCCTGATCGTCTCTCGATCCAAGAGCTGTTGTTGCAGCGATTGCATCCCTTGCATCAACTTGAGCATCACGTCCACTGTGGTGTCCTCCTTTTTTGATCTTCCTTTGTGATCTTTCACATTCACTGAATCTTCCGACTCCTCTTCTTGAATCGATTGACTCTCCTCACTGGACTCTTGCTGTCCAGCTGGACCATCCTCCTTAGAAACTTCTTCAAGCTTCTTTCCAATCACTTCCTCCTCTGCTTTGGGGGTCTCAGCCTCCTGTTCTCCTCGACTTGCATCCTCCTTTGGCTTCGAAGCTTCAAAGTCTTCCTGCTTGGCTTCTACACCTTTGGACTTGGGCTTCTTTCCTGAAACCTTCTGACGGCGGGCGCTGTCACGGAGACCTTCAGCAGGAGTGACATCGGGAGGTGTTGTGTATCTAGTCTCTCGTTCTTCCATAAGCTGAATCCTCAACCTCAAATTTTCTTCTTGAAGCTGGGTGAGAGACTTTGACATTTGTCCCATTTCTTGTCGAAACTGCCACATCATCTCATCAAACATTCCTTGTTGTGTGTGGTGTGGCACGTATCCATAACCATGTTGAGGTGCTAAGGGATATCCCATTGGTGACATCATCAAGACTTCCGGACCCTTCCTTGATGGTCCCTCTGACATGTCAGCTTCCTTCCCCATTCCCACCTTCCCTGCCGCCAAACCCCCATCCCATCCGCCGGTGGACTGGCTTACTGCGGTGGGGCTTGGGCCCTGCAAAAGTGGTGCACTCAACCTGAGTTCCTCAGCTTTCTTTATCTGAGCTTCATTGAACAGCGGCTGGAGGTTCCTGGGTCCTAGGGCCTTAGGGGATCCTACAGGTTCAGCTGGAAAGTCTTCTATTGGCAAGGGGGTTTTCATATCTTCCCCAACAGGACCATTTGGCCTTCCAACCCTTTCCCTATCCACTGCCACTAGAGCCATCTCTGCCCCTTGGTTTCTCGCGCTTGCCCGGGTGCTTGACGCTGTTTGGTCCTTCTTTGACTCTTCATCTTCAGGCTCAGACCTTCGTCTGAGCATCATTTCAGCAGAGTCCCCATGCGTTGGGCTCATAACCTGTTCGCGACAGGTTCACCCGGGTAATATTATCGGGGGTACTAGCACTGACAGTCCTGACACGTCTGCGGCCAGAAAAGCCAGGTACTAGTCCACACCTCAAACTCCTTGCGTTAGACACACAAAGTCCTCCACGGTCAGACAAGTGGTCCTGCGCTTTTAACTCTCTTTCCAAAGTCCTTCACGTTGGATTCACCGGTCTTCCGACCGATCTTTGAGCTTGGAAAAAGGGCTATGGTGAAATGCCCATTGATTGAAATGACAATTGCAAAGTCATGACATGAATGCTAAATAGGGAATATGCAATTCGCAGTTTTAACCATCTTGAAAAATATGAGTTTGTCAATGGGAAGGATTATCCCATATATGAAATGGAAAATAAAAAATGTTTGAAACCACCAACCAGTATAAATGGTTCTCTGTTTTCCATGTTTTAAGCCATATTGTTACATCTTTTTCCATGGTATCACTTATAGTAAATGTCCATGATATTCCCACAGTCCATGATATTCCCACAATCTCTCCCATCCCTTTTTTGTGGTCATGAGTCATAGCTACCCTCTGGTAAACGTTTACATCATAACTATGGAAAATCACCATGTTTCATGGGAAAACTCACTATTTCTATGGCCATGTTCAATAGCAAACTCTTAGTTTACCAAAGGGTAAACCTCCATTTTCCTATGGTTTTCCTATGGTTTTCCTATGGTTTTCCTATGGTTTTCCCATTAAAACCTCCATTTTCATCTAGAAATGCTCCATGTTCCCATCTTTGTCGCACCCCGCGGTTGGAACCAAAAAACGGCCCGTTTTTTCGGCGCCCCAGCGGATCAACCACCACACGGGGGCCCATAGAGTTGCCCACCAGCTGCGCAGGCGGAAGTGGCTGGGTGACCCCTTGATTTTTGGAGCTACCCCCATAGGAAAACCATAGGAAAACCATAGGAAAACCATAGGAAAACCATAGGAGGTTTACCCTTTGGTAAACTAACAGTTTGCTATTGAAAATGACCATAGAAATAGTGGATTTTCCCATTGAAAATGGTGATTTTCCATAGTTATGTAAACGTTTACCAGAGGGTAAGTGGACCCACATAAGCCTAGAAAAATCATAGGAACATCACAGGAAAATGCGAAGTTAAGCAAGAAAAATCTGGTTTTGGATGGGAGTGCTGATTTATGATAGCTAAGTGGACCCACGTCACTTGGTTAAACTTGTGGGCTGGTCAGGGGATACAACCAACTAGTTAATGGGTTTAGAAACCAACAAACACATAAATCTACGGAAGGTGGTTTTTCGCCACCTGAAAGATATCTAAAAGTTCTTTGTTGGGATCATCATCCGATGAAATAGATATATATATATACATATATATTATATAATTATATAATATATAATTCAGATATTCCAATGGAGACGCCAGTCCGACAGAACACGGCAATTACTGCAACTTGGAGCTGGGGCCCTTCAGCAGAAACGGATCATGGATGCATCCGTTTCGTTCCCAGGAAACAAACATCGCAAGTCATAAGTCAGTCATACCATCCATAATATACCATCCTAATATACTATCCATATACCATCCATATAACATCCATATACCATCCATATACCATCCATATACCATCCATATTCCATCCATATTCCATATACCAGATCCAAAAAGGACTCCTGTGGTTTTTCACCATGTCATAAGTCAGTCATACCATCCAGCCAGCCGCCACGAAAATCTTTCCCTCGCAAACGGCGAGAAAAACAATTCATCCCTTTGGGATGAACGGCGATGACAATGACCATAGAAATCGTTGATTTACCCATTGAACGTGCTGATTTATAGATGATTTACCTATTGAAAATCGTACATTTATAGATATTTATAGTTGATTTACCCATTAAACATGGTGATGTTTCATGGCCTAGCTTTTGTACGTTTACCAGAGGGTTACTGTAGTTTTTTAGTTTCAGTTCTAAGTTCAAATTCTTCAATTTTTGACGACAAGATGAAAGAAGCCAAAGAGGCCATTTCCAGCAGTCACATCCTTCACACCGCCAGGCGCAGGTCACAAGTCCAACTTCAACCAGTCCAACTCTATCTCTGGCACGGTTGGAACGTCCTTGGCCTCAGCAGAAGTGGCGTGCCTTTTAAGCAGAGGACCTCTGCTGGATGTCCGGCTTGTCAGTGTTCCCGGAAAATCCAATAGTTGTTGTTTTTTCCGGAAATGGCGGGTTTCCTGCCAAGAAATATATCCCATAAAACAAATCCAATGATCAATGAAGCGAATGGTACCATCCGGACCCCAAAAGAACGACGTTTGCTCGGAATCATTGTCACAAGTTTTGCTGACCAAACTGAGAAAATCCTGTGGCATTTTGAGTAGTTTAAAGTGTGTTTCACGGCCCTCAGTCTCATGTGAGTACGTTCAGATCATGGTCTTCGGCCCAGTCTATGGGGGAACCCGGCTGGGTCGATTTCTTCGTGGCCCGATGATTTTATTCGATTTCAGATGAGTGAAGCCGAAAAAAAATGCCGGAAAGTGTGAAACCAGGATGGTAATTCCATCATATTTACCCCACATTTCCATACATGTCTAAGTTTCCAACGAGTCTCTATCTATTGTGTGCTTGCTATAAACCAACCATCCAATGTTTGCTTTCCCAGACGCGTGAGCTAACTAGTCAACAACTGTTGTGCCTCAGAATATTTTCTTGATCATCCTGAGATGGTTTGACTTAAAATTAACAAAGATATACCCATACGCTCCATGGTGCTGGAATATTTTACCAAAATTTGCCCGAACAAAATCACCCAGTCATGTAGGTAAATATACCATACACGGATCATATGGAATATATATAATAAAGATATTCATCTTGATGAATAAACCATGGTCCTAAAATTCCTCAAACCATTCAAACCATCTTAGAATATCATACAAAAGATATATCCCAAGATATTCCAAAAAATTGGTTGATGAATACCCTCTGGTAATTTAACATAGCTATTGAAAATGAACCATTTATAGTTGATTTACCTATTATGAATGGTGATTTTCCATAGCTATGTTAGTTACCAGAGGGTAAACCTCATGTGTTTTTTTCTTGGTAATATCCTAATGATCCTAATGGATAGATAGATATGTTATATCCACCTGGATCACCGAGCCGCCGGGGCCACGCCGCTGCGCAGGAAGCTCAACTCCTTCGCCAAACACCTGGAGATCCGGGGTGAAACTCCAGTTTTGGAAAGAAAACAGGTGCAACTCCCGTAGGACAAATATGGAAATTGGATTTTCATAGAGTTCATAAAGTTATATAAAGTTTAAGAATTCGAAAACCATTCGCAAGGGGTGAACTTTGGTGAACTCTCAATGTAGAAAAGATGTTGGACAACCAGACACCCTTGGTGACAATAGCTCAACAGCCGCATCATTGTAGATACCCTCTGCAGCATCCATGGCAATGGAAAAAACATGGAGGTTTAAAAATCATGGAACTATTTTTTGGGGATTTCGCAGCCACGTTTGATGACACCGGAGGGTAGAAGTGTGAAGCCGTCCGAAAAAAGATGAAAACCACGGCCTTCCACTCTGCAACACATGGGTCTGGCAAGCGTTTAGTTCTCACCGTATCTTTTTTTTGGTGGACAAAAAGAGCAGGCTTGATCCCAGATATTTCCAACAAGAATAGCCATCAACAGGGCTACAATTTATAGGAGTACCTGTAATAAATTGTACATCATGGGGATATAGTTGTAAGAGAATTAATACTATGATGATTATGTGTGGTTCTATACCCACTATATGGAGGTTTTAGATTGGGATTTTCATGGATTTTCACTACCAAAAACCATCCATTTTGGGGACCCGCACCGTCTCCGATAGTTGAGACGTCTCTGTGGGATGTTGGAAAACTGCGTGTCCATGTGCCAGCCCCTGGCAGCGGAAGCGCAGGTGTGTTTGTCGGGTGTCTGGACATGGGAATTCATGTTGGTGGTATAAATATGTATATATACTGTGAATCGCTCCACACTGGTAGAAATTCCCCTTCACCAGCTCCAAAACGCTCGAGATCTTTTTCACAAGCAGCCAAGATGGTAAATGTTGCTAGGCTTCCAAAGCAGGAGAACCAAAGGCACTGATGCCACCGATAAATGCTGTCCTCAGCAAACCAGAAAGGATTGGCCTCAATCCTATGGCTTCAAGCGCTTCCTCAGCCCTCCCACCACGAGCTGCCAGTCAGCCAAAGCGGCTGAGGATTTCCACGTCTGGAGTTGGACCCTCATGGAACATGTATGAAAGGCTGTGCACATGTGACAAGAAAGCAAGAACATGACTGGGATCATTTGTTCATTCACACTCGTAAAAACAAGAATTTTCTACTCTTCTTGTTGATCTTTGCTTTCTCCACTTGTGGTAGCTTGGAGCCACTTCACCCTGGTTCTGTTACATGCCCTTTCTTTGAGGATCTCAGTCTCGTCATGTAAGGAATATTTGCCACATTGGAGGGTATGACGGAGAAAATGACATTGCATAATTTTGGTTAATGCATCTGCCAGCTGTGCTCCCGTGTGAACCCATCTAAGCCTTACCCCTTCAGCCAGCAAGTCTTTAATGGCTCTTGCCTGTAGTTGTGTACGAAATTCCTGGCAACTGGGTGGAGCAGTCCGAGTGACCAAATCAAACAATGATTTACAATCGGTGACTGCTATTGAGGGGTCTTCTTTGAACGTGGCTGTCGCAAAAGTTTCTGGAAGTTTATTGAGTGTGGTGGTTGCATTCTTCCAATCTGTCTTGGGATTCCGTATCCAGCTCCAAAAAAGTCTCAACCATGACAGCTGGTCCAAGGTTGTGCTCAAGGACGTGGTCTCTGCCGACAGCGTGCTGGTGACAACTCTTTGAATTTTCTTACAGCCCCAACTGATTGGATTTACTGGACATACATGGTTCTTTCCTATGTCCGCATGAGTGGTCATGATAATTGTTCCTGTGTGTGACTCTGGTTGTTTCTTGGAAGCGAATGATGCGTCAGAGAAAGCAAGGAACCGTATCTGGTCCATGGGAATTGGTTGAATTCTGACATGTGTATCCTTGTATTTCTTGGCTTCATGAAGAATTCTGTTTCCCTGGATGAGAGTCTCCACGGTCGCTTTGTTCACTTCGCTCTGCAGAAAACTTAAGCGGCTTGACAGGTCTGGTCTCGTGTTCACGGATGCATACTGGAGTGATCCTATCAGTGCTCTTAAGTCCTGTCTCTCTCTCTCTCTGTGACTGGAAGGTTTTCTTGTATTTTTCGTTGTGGTTGGATGTGAATTGGATTGATTTTGGAAACGTACTTTTCTTGTGACATGACAATTGAGTAGTCGTTTTGTTGGTGCATTTCTATTCCCGTAAAGACAAATGACTGCGTTTTACGCGACCCAAATGGGAATTTGGCCTCAAGCCTTTTGATCATTTCGTGAAAGTATTGGTTTCCTCCGCAAAGGCCGTCATCCACGTGTACCCCCAAGATACCCGCTGGCTCATCTTTTCCTTCTTCATATAGTAGGTATAAGCAAGGATCAAATGGAGATGGTATGAAATTCAGGGATCTCAATTGCTGGTCCAGTTCTGTATACCATAAGAAAGGAGCATCAATTAAACCATACGCTGATTTCACTAGTCTACAAACTTCACTTGGTTTGAGGTTCATCGCTTTCACCATTTCAGGGACGGGTTCAACAGCTATCAGTCTGTCTTCCTGTGTTTTGCCTTGTAGAAACGCTGCCTTAATGTCGAATGACATGAGTGTCCATCGCATGGATGCAATGACCTGTGCAATCAACATCTTTGAGGTTCGTCCTAGTGTAGGGCTATCTCTGGGGATAGTTTCTAGTTGTGGGTCCATGTAGCCCAAAACTACTAACCTCGCTTTTGCCTTTCTTGACTTTCCATTATTTTCTTTGATTTCCTTGGGGTCTTCTAGAGGTTTCCAAACATACAACCATCGACACCTGAGGATCTGTTTTGGAGAAATCTGATGACGAAAAATTTTTGCTACTGTTCCTGTCTGTAGCCAGTTGTTCACTTCCTTATTTTTCGCATTTTCAAACTCCTGTCGTTCCGCAGGATCTAGAGTGCTAAGTTTGGCTTCTGTTCTCTGTCTTTTTGCAGTGGTCGCAAGGAAAAGGAACGCTTCTTCGCGATTTTGATTTTGGCTTTGCATGGCATTTGTCAGCTGTTCGGGACTGATTTCCAGTTCTGTTCGCCAGAAAAGGTCTTGTCCATCTGGTCCAATTTCTGTTTCCACATCATGGCACGTTAGGAGGTCACAGACTAGCTCATCGGCAGTATCATCAGGGATTGGAATTTCATGAGGTTGTCTAGTGTCTAGTTCTGGGATGGTGGTGTCGTTTTCAGTCTCTCTTGGTGTTTCGGCATTTTCAGGTTCTTGGTCAGGTTGATCTGCTGAGCTCTGACTTGGGGTTCTTTGAGGTGGACTATTGGTATCGTTAGGGATTATTCCACTGGGATTAGTGGGTACTGGGTTATTGTTTGTGATGGGATTATTATTGGGGTTGCTGCTTTCTGGGATGATTGGTTCAGTGGCATTTCTGTCCATGGTTGGGATATCACGGTGTTCACTTCTCGGCTCGTTGTCACCGGCAATTTGATCCAGGGGGATCAGGCGAGCTTCTACGGCGCTGACAGGTCTGACATGCTCGGGTGCTGCTTTGAGGATGGATCCCATATTGTTGCAAAACACTGCGTTGGAACCATCCTGTTGGATGACTTTTGCGGGGCCATACCAGGATCCTTGGTTGGAAACCACTTTCCACACCATGACCCACTCTCCAGCTTCATACGAACCCCTGTGTGGCCTCTCACGACATAAGGCGGCCCTGCGAAGAGACATGTCATTATCAGCTGAGTGAAAAGCTTGGCGAGCTGTTTCTCGGCGAGCTAACATCTCCCGGAAACGTAAGCCCTCGGACGTCTCCTCACATGCTTTGGCATGTGTGGGTAGTTCATCATCGCCAGTTAGTGAGCCTGGAATTCTGGCGCTTTTTCCAAACACTAGCATTTCTGGGGAATACCCCTGTCGGATTCCGCATGTGTTTTTTGCTGTAGTGCACTGTGCTAATGCTTGCTGCAACTGTGAGTAGTTGGTGATTTCGTGTTCTAGTTCATACTTACTCAACATGTTTTGGAGCACTCCTCCATGTCTCTCTATGCGCCCCATCTGCCAGTGCGCATTTGGAGGGACAACCGTGACTTTGATCCCCAGGCCTTGCAGAAAGCTTTCAAACGATTTGGAGACAAACTCTGTCGCTGAGTCTAAAATCACTTCATTTGGAGTACCAGCCCAACTAAGCCATCCTTGAGTGAAGCGGTCCTGAATCTCTGCACGATTCGGAGCGACAACAGCAGAATGATAGTTGGTGCCATGGTCTATGAAGTGGTAAAAATGGTATTCTCGACCATCTTTGTTGGTCCACTTCACTCCATCTAAAGATATCTTGTCTCCAAATTCTAAGGCTTCCTTCAGGGTTGCCGGTCGCTGCAGTTTGGGCTTTTGTGTCATCTGACACACGGAACACTTCAGATCCATAACTCCCTGAGACAGTTCAGTGCTGTAACCCCTCTGTTTAAGTACCTGACTTAATTTTTGGGGGTCTGGATGGCCTAGGTTCTTATGTAGCCTTAATGCTATCTTCTTATTTTCGGGTGACATGGCTAAGAACCGGGGACCATGGTTGGAACTGTTCAGATCGACTTGGCTTGGCTCGCAACTCTCGGATGCTGTTTCTTGGGATTCTAATCTGGCTGGACTTGGCATCGGATGCATTGGTTCAGGCATTGCAGCATCTACGGATGACCCATCCAAGGTCGCAGATTGGCTCGGTCCAGCTGGTTCCATTTCCTGAATTACTGGCTTGGCAGAGCTTGCTACTTCAGCATTGGGATTGCAGGCAAAAACTGTTATATTTAGGTAGCTTGGATGCGATCTCCTCCACTGCTGCCTAAATGACAAATCTTCCCATTCCTCCCATTGATCTTCAACCAGTACATTTCGGGTGTTTCTCTGCATGATTACCGCACGGCGGTACGGGGCTTCTCCTCGCATGAGATCTTTTGGTGGTACTAACGTTCTTTCAGTCCCCTTACATGCAATTATTCTTTGTACTTGTTTATCCCCAAACATTTCTTGCAACATGGATTTTACTTGAGGGTCATTGATCTCTTTGCGTCCAACCTTCGGCATGATCTCAAGTACCCTGTTGCAAACTTGTTCACACAACACTTTTGGGGTATCATCACTTTGGGTCTTTCCAGAAAGTCTCCTACGTTTGGTCGGCAACATTTCTGGGTTGATCAAGACACTTTTGATGCTACCCTCTTTCAGTTTTGCTCGTTTGGCACTTTGGACACCGGCAGAAACGGATCTTCTCTTGGCTCCTGAGCTTGCAAACGAAGGTTCATGCTCGGCAACATGCAGTGGTGCTTCCTTAATCATCTTGACTTTGGTAAGCACTTGGGCCAACGTTCGGGCAAACTTTCGGGTGTAATTCTCAGAAAATTCAGTTCTTCTCATGCGGTGACCTTTGAACATTGTTTCTCCCTCAAGTGTTTGGTGTTGATGAAGGTGGTTACACTTACGACCGTGAAGTTGGCTGTATAATTGATAGGACGTGGTAAGGATTTCCATTCCCTTCTTGTACAAAAGTTGGTTGACAGGGTCACGCATGCCTCCTACTCTGCACATGTCGAATTGGGCGAGGTATGTGTTTTCCATTACTTCACGCAACATCGGAGACCTGGTCATGAGTGATCGAGCAGGTTGCTCCCAGTGCATGTGTCTGCCATTCTGTCTCTGGAAGCGGAAAAGCACGATGCCCAATGCCAGTTGGTACATATGTTGCTCTCGGAGAGCTTGGATTGTCTTGAACCCTGCC